TCTGTAGCTCAGTTGGTTAGAGCTCGACAACTGGCCTCTGTAGCTCAGCTGGTTAGAGCTCGACAACTGGCCTCTGTAGCTCAGTTGGTTAGAGCTCGACAACTGGCCTCTGTAGCTCAGTTGGTTAGAGCTCGACAACTGGCCTCTGTAGCTCAGTTGGTTAGAGCTTGACAACTGTCTCTCTGTAGTTCAGTTGGTTAGAGCTTGACAACTGTCTCTCTGTAGCTCAGTTGGTTAGAGCGCTGCACCGGAAGGAACCGTAGGTTTGATTCCTGCCAGAGGGCCAAAAGTTGTATTTTTCGCAACTGTTCCTGGCTAGATCTAAGAAATGTATAGAATTTCATCATCTTCAACAAAATGCTTTTGTATTAAAATACTTTCAATACTTCCAGGCAGAATCTCCTCAAAGGAAAATCACTATGGAACAGTCGACAGCGGATAGATCAAAACGACCCTATACTCCAGTGAGGTAAAGTCAATTACGGTAAACCTCAGAATACAAGCACACCCCCCCCCCCAACTGTGTATAAGCCCACCATTTTTACTAACGCTCAGACCATTTCGAATTTTATGTCCCCTCACGCCTGGGAACCAATTGAAAATAGTTGGAAATGTGAAGGCTTTTCTTATATCTTTCTAACTTTCTTTCTTTTTACAGATTTCCAGGCGATTCTATTGGGACAAAAACGCTGACAATTGGTCGGTTACATTTCAGGTAAATATACTGCGTAATGTGTGAATGTAAAGCCCGGATGAAGCGAGAGTGTATGATAGTTGGCAGTCACACGACCTTAGTTAGCTGTTCTTAAATCTTATACAATTACCTTATGGTTTCCGTGTTTGGATGGCCTGATCCAAACACGCGGGAATGTTGCGAGAGTTAAGAAAAGCACACGTTATATACATTTTATTTTATAATAATGCTTTCAAAACACTATCATGTATTTTATAGTTGGAACACTCATCAAAACTTTTTTGAGTGTTTTCTATAGCTGTACGTCTCGCAAAGACAAAAGTTCTAACAAGAAAAAATAAAATTTCTATTCACAGTGAAACGACATCGAATAACATGAGAAAGAAAGGGAAACTCAATCCTGATCAAAGGTGAGACCATCATAACAGTCTAGTGCGCATGCCTCCAACCTAGCCTTCTCCGCAGGCATCTCGTGGTTCACGTACTTTACAAAGTCAGTGAGATTTTGTTGCCTGCAAGGAAATTCTGCCCGATAATCTAATGACGATCCCAGAGGGCGATGCCTGCAGAGGAGGCTACCTTTGGCTACCTCCAACCAAATATTTCTCTTAACCAGAATACATTAAATGGCTGAAAGTGTTACAGTCGTGCCAATAAAAGCGTTCCGAAAAATGTTGATCAATTCATTTCCTAACTTGAAGGAACACCTCTGAACAATTCCTCAACAACTTGATAAGTTCCTTAAAAAGTTCCTAACTTCCTGTTTCATTGACCAATCAGATTGCTCAAAAATAAAATATAAAATTTGGTTGGTCAATGAAACAGGAAGTTCGGAACTCTTTAAGGAACTTATCAAATTGTTGAGGAATTGTTCAGAGGTGTTCCTTCAAGTTAGGAAATGAATTGGTCAACATTTTTCGGAACGCTTCTATTGGCACGACTGTAAATGGCTATGTAATAAACCCTACCCCTACTCTAACCCCTAACCCTAACCGCAACCCTAACCCTAACCCTAACCCTAACCCTAACCCTAACCCTAACCAAATTAATAAAAAAATCCAAAAAGAAACGACTTTAGAAAATCGATAGGGCGGTTTGCTGCATGGAAAATAGTGCTAACCAATCAACCCTCCCTTGGGAAAACCATCTAAACATGTAGACTGCGCTACATCGAGAATTCTACTGAAGCAGTGTGATTCCTTTTCAAAAATTCATATTTTTGTTTCAGATATTTCCAATTAGTTGTTGATGTACGTGCTTATACAAAACAAGGAAATTATTCAATGTGTTGTCAAATCTCTGAGAAGGTGATCGTCAGAGTAAGTGAAAGTACTGACCTGATGTTTGATGTCGGAATAACATATTTGGAATGGTGTTTTACTTCTTTGGAGGGTGGATTCATATATTTCGTGTATTTTAGGCTTCTAATCCTGGACAGTTTGAAAGTGATGTTGCACTCTGGTCTAGAGATAAAAGTGACGAATGTGTTTATAGAATGGTAATGCTATTAATCGCAGTACAGACGAGCGAGTTTGCCCTGATAAATTTCTTGACGTTGTACCATTTTGGTGTTTTCTATTTTTTATGTTAGCACGTTATCTTATTGTTAAAGTGCATGCTGTGTTTTCTAGGGTAGTGTTGGTATCAATACTGATAAATCAGACCAATGTTTATCTGTGAATGGAAATATAAAACTCACTGGACAGATCATGACTCCTTCCGACGTTAGACTTACGGAGGAGCTTCGTCAGGTAATGTGTACCGCGCGAGTGGGATTTGAAAGGGTTAGGCTTCGGTGGCGCAATAGTCAGAGCAAGAGCCTTTCACATCTGGGGGAAGGAAGGTGGAGGGAGTTGGAGGAGAGAGGGGAGGGGGAAGTATGTGGAGGGAGTTGGAGAAGTGAGGGGGGGGGACGTATTGGGAAGGGAGGTGGAGGGAGAAGTAAAGTTGGAGGGAGTTGGAGGAGAGAGAGGAGGGGGAAAGAATGTGGCGGAGAGAGGAGGAGGGGAAAGAAGGTGGAGGGAGTTGGAGGAGAGAGGGGAGGGGGAAGTATGTGGAGGGAGTTGGAGGAGAGAAGGGAGGGAGAAGTATGTGGAGGGAGTTGGAGGAGAGAGGGGAGGGGGAAGTATGTGGAGGGAGGTGGAGGGGGAAGGAAGGTGGAGGGAGTTGGAGGAGAGAGAGGAGGGGAAAGAATGTGGAGGAGAGAGGAGGAGGGGGAAGAAGGTGGAGGGAGTTGGAGGAGAGAGAGGAGGGGAAAGAATGTGGAGGAGAGAGGAGGAGGGGGAAGAAGGTGGAGGGAGTTGGAGGAGAGAGAGAAGGGGAAAGAATGCGGAGGAGAGAGGAGGGGGAAGGAAGGCGGAGGAGAGAGGAAGATGGAAGGGTTCAGGAGGGGAGGTCGAAGAAGGTGGAGGAAAGTGGAGGTAGGTAAGTCGAGAGAGATGGAGTAGGGGGGGGGAGTAGAGGATAACTCCGCTTAATGACTGTTCCCCCCAAACTTGCCTATTTGATTGTTATGCGTACATCATGACGTCATGCAACATAATAAGTGACGTCGTTGACACTCGATTTATGACTCGTGATTGGTCAAATTAAATCTTGAAGCATATAATAACTTTTTATAGGCAGACACTGGTCGAAACCTGGAAAACGTTGATAACATGAAACTCTACAAATTCCGCTATGATAAGCAATATTCCTATCACGCTGGACTGGAACAACCCACAGAAAATCTTGGAGTCTTAGGAAGCGAACTTAACACCTTGATACCCGATGCTGTTACTGAGAGTGTAAGTCTGGCTGAAACCCTAAAACAATGGACCTAACTCAGTTACAGAGTTCAATTAACCACAAATAACTGGAGCTCAATTTATGACATTTTTAGGCAGATATTGTATTACCAGACGGAAAATTGTTGAAAGATATCCTGATGGTTAACAAGGTATGCTAAACAAATACAACCATACAAACGCGCTTGTCTAAGATTCAAGGAGCAGAATATTAAGGATATTCTATGAAATCATGGATAGAGCATCTGCAGATAGTTTTGGATAGTTTTCGTGTGCGGATAGTTTTCGTGAGGATTTGACCTCTCGAGGCCTTGTGGAAAATTTCTATCGTGTTTGATATTTTTCACCTCGCGAGGAAAAAATCTCAGCGTCTGCGGATGTTGTGAGCTAAGTGCTGAGCTGTTTGAATCAATTAGCCAATGACAAACCATAGTTTCTTCATGTAACTAGGAACAAAATGGAGGAAAATGCAAATGATTTTGTCAATTATATGGTTGTTGAGTAGTTTTCCCAACGTGTGCGGTGAAAATAGATAGCTGAGCTAGCTGCCACGCGAGGCGGTTAGCTCAGCAATTTGCTCTCATGTGCGGCAGGCTTTACATGGTAGAAAAGCTTCTTTTAAATGTTTCCAATGATTGGTTAAATAAATAAAAAATAACACTGCCTAGAGAGAAATTGGTTATTCGTGCTCTCTATTCTTTCTGAAATTTGCCAGTGAAGAACTAATGAGATCACATCAAAATGATCGCCACAACTCCGCTCATCATCTCGTGTCGAAAACGTTCTAAAACTCATTAGAAGAGATTTGGGAAGATATATCTTTCAAGTGACGTAAAAGATCATCTTTGCTTGATAGTTTAATTAATTTAACTTAAGCACGTAACGATTTGATTCGTAATGTAGTGACAGATTTAAAAATCTATCTTCATCAGTAATCTCAAAATGAAAAGCTTGCTCTATCCAGCCATAGGTTCGAGTTCAATCGTCGTGGCCCATAACACAGGGCCTGTGAAAATCTTAGGGAATTATCTTTCGTTTTTAGGACAGACTGTTAATGGAGTCTTTAGGAGCTATGCAGGAACTTTCTAAAATTACCGTAAGTATTAAGTTTATAACATATCGCCCCGAATGCTTTGGTTTGGGTAATTTTAGGTGATTCTAAGATGAAATGTAATACACTGTGTCTTACTAGAAAAAACCCGCTCACGTTGATCAAAATGTCATATCCGAAGTTGATTAAGTGAGACCTTGCGACTAATAAAAACATGTTTTAAAAAAGAATTGTTAAAATGCAAAGGCCGGGACCACAGGCATGGGTGACCAAAGGGGGCCACAGGAATTTTTTAAAAATTCAAAAAGTGCCCCAGACCACTCCAAAGTTCCTGAAACTTTCTGAAAATTGTCGAAAACCATTTCTCTCATCAAAACAGTTAGTTTCGACTAATAAACTAAACATGTTTTAAAACTTTTTGGTATAAAGTACAGGCATCCCACTATTTAGATTATATATTATATTTCTTCTTAGAGCGAAGTGAATATTAAGACAGATTTACACTACAACTTTTGCCTAAAACTGTCGCATGCAACTTGTTTACAACTTGAGTTATACTGTGTAAATCAAACACACAACTCACTAAAACGTTGTCGTTGGTTCCCAGTATCATATTTGGGGTTACGAGCACTTCAAACTTATCTTCCTTGCGAAACATTGCGCAAATCTCTGTTCTATATATAACATATGATTGTATTGTTTTCTCATTTCTATCTTGTAGAAAATTTTAACTTCACGCATGATTGAGTTGGAAACAAAAAATGAGATACTGGAATTAATTTTGAAGAATATGGTTTCAGAATCAATGAATATTTCTTTTCCGAATTAGAGGTATTAATATATTGTGATTGCCACTGATACGACACTGAACCACAAAATCTGACTGAAACATTATTTTTGTTTTGCAGATTTGGCCTATAAATAGAACTATACTTCAACAGACAAAGAAACCAAAGTCTTTCCAACCAGGAATAATTCGTATATTGATAGTATGGTCACACCGTGACACAACTGCTGTTTTGCTAGTTCGGCTAATTTATATTGGTACAAACACTCATTAATAATTCATCAGCTTATTTGCAAATCATGTCAACCATAATATGTCACGTGAAGAGGCCTTTATACCTGATCACACTCATTTTCATTAGTATTAAAGTTCATCTTAATTAGTATTCTTTTAGTCGTATTATTTATTTCTATATAATTAGAATTTAAAATATTATTAATTCTGATCCGCAACTATTTGTATTGCATTGTATTTGTATTTAATTACCTTCATGCACGGGTAACCTGTCAATCGACATTGATTTTCATAGGGCCATGTAATATTTACATGTAAAAAAGATTGAAATAGAATTATAATATTTACAATTTATCGTTTAGAAGCTGATTCCAGGTCTTAGCCATAGATATCTTATATACACTAGATAGTGCATGTAATTATTCTGCAATTCAAACTGATTGAAGCCGTGATTGCAGGCTCAGGATATTCCCATGAAATTAGAAGATTCGTATGTTTTCTATTTCTTAAACAGGGAACTTAAACATTAAGTTAAACCTATTCCAAATACATTTTCAAACCGTTCAAATGATGAAAGTTATTGTTGTTTTTTAAGCGTTTATTAGCGAGTGGGAAACTCCAACATGGCCGCCATCTATTCAAATTGGGGTAACCGCTGGAATATTCTTGGCTTCAATTTTGCTAAAAGAGATGCGCTATCTAGTGTATGTAAGATATCTATGGTCTTAGCCTCATATAACTAAAACTTCTCTTCTGTTCGTATTTGGTTTTGACAGTCTTAGAAGTTTGCCGTTACTTCTTAAATTATAATTAAAATTGTTGTACTTTTCAAAAAGGTTCCCTATTATCTCAGTTACCATTCATAACATACATTTTTCCGCGAGATTTTGTCGCTTTTCATCCAGTGTTTCCAAATATCTGTAAATAGTAAAAATAAAATGTTCCAATTACATAATTACGTCATCTAAGTTGATAAATTGAAAGTCCGCGCGCCGCGTATGTTTTCGTCCGCGTCTGTATGTTTTTGAAGTGTCTTTATAAGATGGTCTAGATATGGGGGTCTGAAAATCAGTAAACGGTGAAAATTTTTATATTTTAACGGTAACAATAAGTAACATTTTGGTATTTTAACGGTAAATCCTTGAGAAAAGTGTTCTGAAACGGTAAACAGTATTTTTCCCTCGCGATTCACGGTAAATTTTTAGTGTTTTCACGACTGACTGTAACCGAAATTGAGTGAATCACGACTCACGATATACCCCCATCAACACCCGCTCGTAATTCTAACAATTTACCAGGTTTTTTCAATTGAGTTTTGGTTTTTTTTGGGACACTCTGTATAATTTTAATCCTTGCTAGTTGGCAATTCCTTAGCGGCAGTGCATCTCAAATACATTCCTAAATATTTGAATAATACAAATCAGGCATTCAAAATTTGCAAAAGAAAAACTATGTTGTTATGATTCACCATGGCCTATCGATTGTATTCATTCCCCAAGGGAATTCGACCAATGAATGCTTTTGACAGCAGCCAATCAAATATTCAAATCTAGGGCTGTAAAACGTGGTGAAGTTTTGCCAGACGATAAGCATGGAAGACATTGGAAGTGTTGTAGTTGAAATATTTTGTAAAAGCACAGGTAAAAGCTTCAATCGAGACGTTATCGAAATGGAATGACTGTGCTGTGTCATCAGAAAGGTCTGTATTAATATATCGTACTTTTAATCGTCTATGAAGTTACTACATGCTCTCGTTTTGAAACGCATATTAAATATTTTGAATTCCCTTCGCCTTCGGCGAGATTGAGCACTTCGGTTTTCGCTTATTCACTTTATTTCTTTGGTAATTTTGTCAAATTTTATTAATAATGTTTCGAAATACCCCGTACTTTGACTTTTGTGACTAATGTGCTTTTTATCTTCAATTTTAGGGCGAAAATTTGACGAGAAAGTTGATTCAATACGGCGACTGGTCGAAGCGCGTGGTGAGTATGGCTGTCTTTATTCATCAACATCAACTGAAGATAAAATGAGTTCTTTGTCGCTTTTTAAGTCTTCCGTATCAAACTACAACGTGGTATATCATTGTTAAAGCTTTATTGAACATTTTAAGTTAAGTTTAGTTTAATTTTGGTCAAAATTTTGTCCGTAATGAGCGAAACTCCTGGATGCATTTCATGTTCAATTTGATATGCATGACCGGAGTTGGCCTATATGAGTCTTGTTGTTGTAAGCTTTTTAAGTCTGTCTTACCAAAACCAGTTACATGTTGTAATGTTTTGCAAGCTTTCTAAACACTGTGAGTTAGGTTTAGTTCATGTATCATCATCTGACTTAGACCTGTTTCAAACGTCGCCGCTTCTCGTGTACGTACTAGGGAACTTTAGATTTGACTACGAGTACGACTACGAGTACGAGATTCGTCAAGCTAAACGCATGCTGTATGCTTACGCCATCCCGTACTGACGCTAAAAAGTCGTAGCCGTCGCCCATCTGAGTACGAAATTGTGGAGAAACCTCGTAGTCCTCACGACGACTTTTCAAAAAAAACAAAGAAAGTTGACTTTTTTTGGTTTTCCAAAAATAATTTGTAGCATTTACATAGCGTTTATCCGGCGCAAATAATATATTAGTGCTAAATATCTGGCCTGTTTTTAATGTTATGACTTATTTACACGTTTTGTAGGGGATTTTAGTCGGCAGGAGATTTACTTTATGAAACTTTTTCTCTAGTTGTTGGTTTACTGTTATAAAAGCAACATTTGAATGGAAACGAAAACGACTACGGTAATTTCCTCGCACGCGATCAAATCTCGTACTCGTAGTCGTACTCGTAGTCAAATCTAAAGCTCCCTACTAAACCAGGGACGCCGGAACGATGTGAAGGCAAGGGGGGCAGATTTTCGTGAAAGGGCACTTTTGAATTGATATATACTAAGAGATGTTTGCAAAACATCGGGAGTTGAACTTCGCCTAATCATGTTTTCTATGTATTGGATGATAGGGGTGTGAGAGGATTCTCCGCCAGGCGATTGTGCTATTCTTGAAGCTCGATGACTGCATTTCTTGCGTTTTCTGAAGCAAATTCGTAAAATAATTGCACTAACATTTCTGACAATTCGCTATTTCGCTAAAGCAATTCTTTAAATTGAAAGGGCACCTTTGCCACCCTTGCCCCTCCTGGTAAAGGGCAACGGGGCTGGCTGCCCCTCCTGCCCCCCAGTTCCGGCGTCCCTGTGCTAAACGCATTAGAAACAATAATAATACGGCATTTCAGCTCATCTATTGTTTTTAATTGGTTCGTCACATGGGAAGCGCGACGTTTGAAACATGCCTTAGTATTTGTATTTAAAATTTATTTAGACACGGTGACCATTCAGCAAGGGGACAACTTGCATGTTAGACTAAATTTTAATCTAAGTAAAAGAGAAGGGAATAAAACACAACAGTTAAAAAGAAAATAATGAAATTAGTAAAATTGCAAAATTTGGTTGCAAAATGTTGTAGAAACAGAAAATATAGCCTAGCCTTGCGAAGTTTGCATATTCTGAGTATATTTGTATTACGTGCTGAAATTGTTACCATGCATTTTCGGCTAAAATGAAATGGTAATAATTTCCGCACGTAATACGAAAATATCGAGAATATGCAAACTTCGCAAGGCTATATTTTCTGTATTCTACAACATTTCGTAACCAAATTACTGATTTTAATAAGTTCTTTACGGGAATTTACTTTTTTGCCTAAATCAAAAATTAGTCTAACATGCAAGTTGTCTAAAGTAGCTAAATTAGTCCCTCATGTATGTCTCCTATTTCTAATTTCAGAATCTTGTTTGCACGGTTATGGGTAAATCTACTTCGCACGATCCACGGTCACCGCTGAAAGTACGTCGAGGCTACATGGGTTAAAGAGATGTCTGACTCAAGGTTGGGAAATTTGCCTGCTAGCAGGCAGTAGTCTGCTTGCTTGCAGGCAGTGTGAGCCTGCTAACTGGCAATAGTTAGCCTGCTAACGGGCAGTGTATCGCTAAGATTCGGGTGTGTTCGTTTCTGGGTTGAAGTTTTTCTCCTGGCGGTCTGTAGTCAGTACATTTGGACACAAGGTTGACTTTCCATGCAGACGCTTGCAAAAACATCGAGATATTTCACCTTGAAATCGTGTGAATTTCGGCACTGACATCTGCTATCGAAAGTCGATCTTAAAGAACTTAACATATGAGCTTTCCGTCACATGGTTAATGCATGCATTCGGTTCGGTTATTGGTGGGTTTCAGTAAGTGTTGCAGCCCAACCTTACAAATGTTGATATATATATATAAAGAGCAATCTATTTTGCTTCAAATGCAAGACTACAACATAAAGAAACTGAAAAAAGTGAAGAATATATTTCACTCCAGTAACTCATATTGATACCCACCATGCATGTATTCGGTCTATTGTCGCAGTCTGTTGGAGCCATTGTTCTCCTAGCTCTTTGTGCAAGTGTACTGCTTAGGGACCGTTCATTATTTACACCCGGGGTTGATACCGAAGAGATATGGGTTGGGGAATCAAGTTTTTGACTGGCTCATGGGTTGGGTAAAATAATTTATGGCTGTCTGTCAGCTATAAAATAAAACCAAAATTACCATGCATTAGAAAATATGAAAAAAATGTGTACAATACATTCTGTACCATAACAGACCATCGGTGATTGAGGAAGGAATATATCATTGATCAGCAGGAACGTGATTGCTTTAGCACACTCAGTGAGTTTGAATGTGAATGAGCTTTTAGAATTTAGGCAACTTGATTTCTGTCACCATAATCTTGTGTGTTTAATTATTATGAAGTACAGTAACACATGGGTTGGGTAAACATTATTTTGACCAATGTCGAGGTTGGGTAAATAAAAAAATTACAGTGTTTTTCGCTTCTCTTTGGTACCAACCCCAGGTATAAATAATGAACGGTCCCTTAGGCATCTGTGCTTGAACGCAGAATTAATAGGCAGACAAGTAAAACCTTGCCAGATTTAAAATTTTGGTTGTACCTATATGTTGCGTGCTCGAATAATTGTCATGAAATGGATTGGGCTTCAGGCAGGATTAATCTAACCATATATTCCTTAACTTTAACACGTCACATGACTTATTGATTCGTCGACGTAATATATGTGCGTGCATTTTATGTGATTTGAAAAGCTGGCATAGTTTTTCTTGGGTAGGATAATGTAAGCTGGGTGCAAATGGTATCCATAGCTTAGAGGGTACAAATGGTACCTGTAAGAAGATTGGTGGATATCGTGGTGGATTACTTTCCATTGGGAAAAGATTTTTCTTGGTTTTCTTCGGGTACTTCGGTTGCCTCCCACAGACAGAGTTGACTGGCGAATGTTTGCTTAGGGATGTAATAACACATGTGTTGTAAAGATAAATAGTCTAGGCTTTACTAAAGATATTAAACTGACTTGGTACACGTGTGCCTATTGATTTGCCCGTAGTGCATGTTTATCGCTGGTTTCGAACGTTAGTTTTCTGCTCCTGAAAACAGTTCGCTACCAGAGATTAGGTCCCTTCTCTGTTATGGCGGCTCGACGATGGAAGACATTAGTAAAATATTGACAAGGTGCATGTATTAGAATTTAGTTAAGAACGTCTCCTTGTAAAGTGCGCGATTTTTTGCTCTTGGGAATTTAAAGCAGCTTCTTAAATAGTTTCTTTATGCATAAAATTTACTAGCTTATGTCAATCATTTATGCATTTGTGGGAACCAACAGAGTGCTAAGGCATTCGAATTCTAACAATTAAATCGTTATTGGTGATTTCAATAGTTTTCGTTTTTTGCGACACCCGGTAGATCACCGATTTAGCCCTGCTATGAAAATTTTTTGTGTTCATTGACTGTGACAACAATTGATTTCCAAAGAAACGAATAATGACAATAATTTGAATTTGCATACGGGGACTAAATTCGGCTGGCTACGCCACCAAAAAATCCAAAAATATGCGAAAAAATGAAATAAAAAAGCGCGAAGTCACCTTGAATGTAAGCAACAGAAATCCACGAATTTTCAAAAAGAAAATTTTTTTTAAAAATCTGCATTCTGCCTAAAATGTCCTGGATTAGAAGGTTTACCATAAGAAACGTAGCAAGGGCATGTCCGTAATTTTCGTCGATATTTAGCTAGTGTTTCCAGGTTTGAAAAAGGGAGAAAAAATATAAAAAAACAAGAAACAAGGCTATATATAACCTTTATTTTTCGTCGTACATTTTTAGCCAATTTTTCCACTTTATACTGAGGGACAAAAAATAAGAACCTTTACTTTTCGTCGATTTTAGCCAATTTTTCCACTTTTGAAAAAGGGACAAAAACTAGGAAAAAAGTAAGGCTAGCCTTTACTTCTCGTCGATTTTTAGCCAGTGTTTATACTTTTGAAAAAGGAAGAAAAAATAGAAAAAAAGTAAGGCTATAATAGCCTTTACCTTTCGTTGCTTTTTAGCCAATTTTCCAACTTTTGAAAAAGGAACAAAAAAATAGGGAAAAAGTAAGGCCTTTACTTTTTCGTCAATTTTTAGCCAGTTTTTCCACTTTTAAAGTAATTCCGCAGTTTTGCATTGCGCACTTTTACTGCGCACATCTTATAACTTATAATTTCATCCATTATACGTACCGTTTAAAAAAAAATGACAATTTTATGCTACTTCAAAACATCTTTTGTTACATTCGTGCAAAGAATTACGTTAAAATTAATATTTTCAAAAATACAAAACTGTAGCTAGGGTTCTGTGTCTGTACTATATTTATTTACTTGCATTTCACGTTTTATCGCCACAATTCCCTAAAAAAATCGGCGACCCCCGTTTTGTAACTGATAATTTATTTCTTTAATGCATTTTACATTTCATATCCGAAATTAAAAGAAAAATCATTTCTGGTTCTTAAAAAAATGCTTTATCAATGCATGTTCTCATAGAATTGCACACGTTAGTAGTTTAATTTTGCTCAAAACACAATATTTTTCAAAAATAATTACCAGATAGGTTTACTAAAGCAAAATCCACGCTAAAAACGTCAATAAATATCGGGCTGTTGTGATTTTGCTGTTACTCGTAATGAGCGCCAAGATGGCGCCATATGGGAGTAAAGGTGGTATGTTGTGATTGTCATATCTTCTTAACGAGTTCGGTAACCCCGACCTTTTTGTGTGATTTTACTTTAATAAATCATAAACTCCATGCCTGGGAAGTTTCAGCACATTCTCATTTCGGGAAAATTACTGCGGAATTACCAAGAAAGAAAGAAAGCGCCAAGAAATACAAAGACGTAAGGCTTTAACCTCTACTTCTCGTTGATCCATAGCCAGTTTTTTCCACTTTTGAAAAAAGAACAAAAAATAGAAAAAAATAAGGCTTTTTAGCCCTTACTTTTCGTCCATTTTTAACTAGTTTTTCCACTCTTGAACAAGGGGCAAAGAACAGCAAAAAATTAAGGCTATAGCCTTTACTTTTCGTCCATTTTCAGCGATTTTCCCATTTTCATAAAGGGGCAAAAAAACAGCAAAAAAGTAAGACTATAGCCTTTACTTTCCGTCCATTTTCAGCGACTTTTTCCATTTTTCATAAAGAGGCAAAAAAATAGCTAAAAAGTAAGACTATAGGCTTTACTTTTCGTCCATTTTCCGCGCCTTTTCTCATTTTTCATACAGGGGCAAAAAACAGCAAAAAGTAAGACTATAGCCTTTACTTTTCGTCCATTTTCAGCAATTTTTCCATTTTCATAAAGGGGCAAAAACAGCAAAAAAGTAAGACTATAGCCTTTACTTTTTGTCCATTTTCAGCGACTTTTTCCATTTCTCATAAAGGGGCAAAAAACAGCAAAAAACTAAGGCTATAGCCTTTACTTTTCGTCCATTTTCAGCGATTTTTCCATTTTCATAAAGGGGCAAAAAAACAGCAAAAAAGTAAGACTATGGCCTTTACTTTTCGTCCATTTTCAGCGACTTTTTCCATTTTTCATAAAGGGGCAAAAAAATAGCTAAAAAGTAAGACTATAGCCCTTACTTTTCGTCCATTTTCAGCGATTTTTTCCATTTTCCATAAAGGGGAAAATAAAAGCAAAAAAGTAAGACTATAGCCTTAACTTTTCGTCCATTTTCAGCGATTTTTCCATTTTCATAAAGGGGCAAAAAACAGCAAAAAGTAAAACTATAGCCTTTACTTTGCGTCCATTTTCAGCGATTTTTTTCCATTCTTCATAAACGGATAAAAACCCAGCAAAAAAGTAAGATTATAGCCTTTACTTTTCGTCCATTTTCAGCGACTTTTTCCATTTTCATAACGGGGAAAAAAAACTAAGGCCATACCCTTTACTTTTCGTCCATTTTCACCGATTTTTTCCATTTTCATAAAGGGACAAAAAACAGCAAAAAACGAACGCTATAGCCTTTACTTTTCGTCCATTTTCACCTATTTTTTCCATTTTCATAAAGGGGCAAAAAACAGCAAAAAACTAACGCTATACCCTTGACTTTTCGTCCCTTTTCAGCGCCTTTTTCCATTTTTCATAAAGGCGAAAAAAAACCAGCAAAAAAGTGAGACTATAGCCTTTACTTCTTGTCCATTTTCAGAGTTTTTTTCCATTTTCAGCGTTTTTTTTCCATTTTCCATAAAGGGGCATTTCCATAAAGCATTTTAGCGATTTTTTCCATTTTTATAAAGCGGAAAAAACAGAAAAAACTAAAGTTATTATAGCCTTTACTTTTCGTCAATTTTCAGCACCTTTTTCCATTTTTTATAAAGGCGAAAAAAAAAACAGCAAAAAAGTGAGACTATAGCCTTTACTTTTTGTCCATTTTCAACGTTTTTTTTTCCATTTTCAGCGTTTTTTTCTATTTTCCATAAAGGGGCATTTCCATAAAGCATTTTAGCGATTTTTTCCATTTTTATAAAGGGGCAAAAAACAGAAAAAACTAAAGCTATTATAGCCTTTACTTTTCGTCAATTTTCAGCGACTTTTTCCATTATCATAAAAGGGCAAAAAACAGCAAAAAAGTAAGACTATAGCCTATACTTTTCGTCAATTTTCAGCGACTTTTTCCATTATTTATAAAGGGACAAAAAAGAACAAAAAACTAAGGCTATAGCCTTTACTTTTCGTCCATTTTCAGCGATTTTTCCATTTTCATAAAAGGGAAAAAAACAGCAAAAAAGTAAGACTATAGCCTATACTTTTCGTCCATTTTCAGCGATTTTTTCCATTTTCAAAAAGGGGCAAAAAACAGCTAAAAACTAAGGCTATAGCCTTCACTTTTCGTCCATTTTCAGCGATTATTTCCATTTTTCGTAAAGGGGCAAGAAACAGCTAAAAATGTAAGACTATAGCCTATACTTTTCGTCCATTTTCTGCGATTATTTCCATTTTTCAAAAAGGGGCAAAAAACAGCTAAAAAGTAAGACTATAGCCTTTACTTTTCGTCCATTTTCAGCGATTATTTCCATTTTTCATAAAGGGGCAAAAAACAGCTAAAATGTAAGACTATAGCCTATACTTTTCGTCCATTTTGAGCGATTTTTTCTATTTTCATAAAGGGGCAAAAAACAGCGAAAAAGTAAGACTATAGGCTTGACTTTTCGTCCATTTTCAGCGACTTTTCCCATGTTTCATAAAGGGACAAAAAACAGCAAAAAAGTACGATTATAGCCTATACTTTTCGTCCATTTTCAGCGATTGTTTCCATTTTCAAAAAGGGGAAAAAAACAGCTAAAAATTAAGACAATAGCTTATACTTTTCGTCCATTTTCTGCGATTTTTTCCATTTTTCAAAAAGGGGCAAAAAACAGCGAAAAAGTAAGACTATAGGTTTGACTTTTCGTCCATTTTCAGCGATTTTTTCCATT